CTGCACTCCAGTCTGGGCGACAGAGGGAGACTCCAACTCAAAACAAAAAAAAAAAAAGAAGAAGAAGAAATAGACACAAACATTCAAAGTAGTTGCCTCTAGCATGGGGCAGGGACTACTGAATTGCTGGTTGTTCCCCTTTCACTGGTGTTTAAGGACTACTCTTTTTGTTACAGACCTTATATTTGTAGTTGATGTGTAAATTTATATATGTATTACCATGACAAAAAATTAAAATTTATGTAAGATATTTTAATACTCCATACAGCTAAAATTAAATTAGAAACATCACTATAAAGTGATAGCTTTTTTGAGCTGGGGTCTCATTCTGTCGCCCAGGCTGGAGTGCAGTGGCACGATCACAGCATGGCAGCCTCGACCTGCCGGGCTCAGGCGTTCCTTCCGCTTCAGTCTCCCAAAGTGCTGGGACTACAGGCATATACCACCACATGCAGCAGCAACAGCCACTTAAACACAGTTTCTATGGCTATTATTACAGTGATCTAAGCAGCAGTGTTACATTATCTCTCTCTGATACCTTGGGTTCAGAGTTTGACCTCATACTCTTCTCCACTAAAAACACCCACGACTCCCTGGAAGGCAGCTGATTTCATTTCTGGAAGCAAAGAAAAACAAGGGCCTGGAACATCTTACTGTTGCCAGAAAGCACAACATTAAAATAGGCCTGGGGTAATGGTAATGAAACAAGGACTCATCTTAAAGGGGTGTCCACAGTCCAAGATGACAATTAAGCACTGAAAAGGAAAGAGTTTTAAAATTGCAAACTGTGGCCATTGCTTTGCTAAGCTATGGTGTGGCCATGTGCACTTTGAGCTATGGCCAGGCCATGTTTTCTTAAGCTTTGGCCCCCTCCCTTACCTTGGGGGAGGCGAATCTCCTCTTTCTCTCCCTCTCTAATTTACTTTCTAAATAAACTATATTTTCTAATCTAAAAAGGAAAATTGCAAACTGTGTAAGTAGATCTTAACATTTAAGAAACATTAGATTATAATCTTTATACATAATAAATATTAAAATACAAGACGTATTATTTTCCATAGTATAGACTAATGCCTTTTTTAAAACTTCAGGTTTTAAAAATTCAAATCAACAGAGGGAAGCTTCCTGCCCAAATCCTCAAAAGAAAGATACCTAATAAGGTTTTAGATACATAAAAATTAAAAAAAAAAAGATTCTATGGAAACCCATGAGTCAATAATGATATTCAGAAATGATACAGATTTGAAGTAAAGGGGGAAAAGGCACATATGTATTTCCAATAATAATATATGGTCAACAAGGCAATTATGTGCTCACTATATTTATAATTATAGTTTTTCATCAAATCAGGCAGTAAAAGATTATGCAATCTGTATCCTAAACCAGCTATAATACTCTGCAACATATGAAAGATATTTTTTTAGGAAAATGGATAAAGTGTTGTGTAAGCATATGTGTGTCAGTCAAAAAGGATAAACTGGCTGGGTGCGATGGCTCATGCCTATAATCCCAGCACTTTGGGAGGCACAGATGAGAGGATTGCCTGAGTCCACAGGTTCAAGACCAACCTGGGAAGCATGGCAAGGCCTCGTCTCTACAATAAATAAAAAAAATTAGCTGGGCATGGTGGCACATGCCTGTAGTTCCAACTACTTGGAAAGCTGAGGCGGAAGGATCACCTAAACCCAACAGGTCGAGGTTGCGGTGGCCGTGAGTGTGCCACTGCACTCCAGTCTGGGCTACAGAGCAAAACTCTGACTTAAAAAAAAAAAAAGAGGCTCGGTGGCTCAGTCGGTAATCCTGCACCTTGGGAGGCTGAGGGGAGTGGATTGCCTGAGCCCATGGGTTCGAGACCTGCCTGGGAAACTTGGTGAGACCTCATCTCAACAATAAATAAAAAAACTAGCCAGGCTACATGCTAGCGTGTGCCTGCAGTTCCAGCTACTTGGAAGGTTGAGGTGGAAGGATCGCTGGAGCCCAGTAGGTCGAGGCTGTGGTGGCCGGGAGTGGCCACTGCACTCCAGTCTGGGAAACAGAGTGAGACTCCGACTCAAAAAAAAAAAGAAAGAAAGAAAGATATTTTTTAAAGTATACATATAAGGTCAGGTGCACTCTGAAAAACTGAGGCAGGCAGATTGCTTGAGCCCAGGAGTTCAAGATCAGCCTGGGAAACACAGCAAACTTGTTTCTACAAAAAAAAAAAAAAAATCAAAAAATTAGCTGGGTGTGGGTACCTGTAGTCCTTGCTACTCAGGATGCTGAAGTGAAAGGATTGCCTGAACCCAGGAGTTTGAGAGGTCAAGGTTGCCATGTGTAGTGATTGTCGTCATCATGCCACTGTACTCTAGCCAGGGTGACAGAGTGAGGTCATGACTCAAAAAAAAGGGCATAGATATAATTTTTACCTGAGCCAAACTTGTATTATTATACTAATCTGGCCAGGCACAGTACCTCACACCTATAATCCCACTACTTTGGGAGGCTGAGGCTGGAGTATTACTTGAGGCCAGAAGTTAGAAAGACTAGCCTGGGCAACACAGCAAGACCGTTTCTATTTTTTTTTTTTTTTAATTAATACTAATTTGATAGATTAATATGATAGGTTAAGGTAAGTGTGGCAATACAATTTATCATCATTAGATAATTTTGTCTGTCTTTAAGATTTTGAAGAATTTAAGACATTCTAATGTGTCAAATTTATAAAAATTGAACTGTTTGTAATCTACTTTTAGGTGTTTAAGGGAATTTGATTATGTCACTGAGTTCAGACTTAGTGAGTTTATATATGATATCTAAGTCATGAGGAAGATTTCCTTTGTTACATTTGTTAACTGTACCTTGTCAAGTGTTGGAGGCACTTAAGAAAATCAAATATAATAAAAAGTTGTGATGCTAAAAGCAAGTTTGCAAATGGTATACAATATTTAGGAAATTTAATATATTTTATGAGCTAAGTGAAGATTAATCAACATAAAATTTTAAAATTGCAAAATGTGTAAGTAGATCTTAACATTCAAGAAACATTAGATTATGATAACCTTTATACTTAATAAATATTAAAATACAAGATGTATTATTGTCTATAACATAGATTAATGCCCTCTTTAAGACTTTTTTTTGTGTGTTGGAGTCCCACTCCACTGCCCAGACTGGAGCGCAGTGGCCGCTCCCAGCCACCGCAGCCTCGACCTGCTGGGGTCTGGCGATCCTTCCGCCTCTGCCTTCCAAGTAGCCGGAACTACAGGCGCACTACCATGCCCGGCTAATTTTTGATATATTGTAGAGATGAGGACTCGCCAAATTGCCCGGGCAGGTCTTGAACCTGCGGGCTCAGGCTATCCACTCGCCTCGGCCTCCCAAAACTGGTAGTTGAGATTACCACTCCCAAATGGTAGACTACTGATTTAGATGATGTATCAGTATGAAAAAGACAATTTAAAAGTGTTATCTACACTGGATTAATTATACAATTTATACATTTAAAGAAAAACTAGGAGAAGAAAGGGCAGAAATTAACTGACCTGTTAGGAAAAAAAAACCTAACAGTTCCACTACATTTTTTTGTATTTCCATTATCGCAACCATAATAGCGTTTATGCAATAAATTAAGCACATAAGTAATGAGTTGGATTTGCTCAGTGTTTGAAAAAGAATGAACTGAGTCTGCCAACCCAGGCTCAAAACTTAATTCTGCCACTTCCCAGCTGTGTGATCCTGGGCATATTTACAAGAATTTTCATCACAGCATCCTATTACTGTTTATAACAGTAATGCATCAGAAACAACCTTAATGTCTGTTAAGAGGAAAACGGATAAATAAAGGGCGTGTAAGCATATGTGTGTCAACCAAAAAGGATAAACTGGCTGGGCGCAGAGGCTCAACGCCTGTAATCTCAGTACTTTGGGAGGTGGAGGCAAGAGGATTGCCTGAGCCCACAGGTTCAAGAACAGCCTGGGCAACATAGCGAGACCTCATCTCTACAATAAATAAAAAAATCAGCTGAACGTGGTGGGAGCGGGCCTGTAGTTCCAGCTACTTGGAAAGCTGAATGGAAGGATTGCTTGAGCCCAGCAGTTCAAGGCTGTGGTGGCCGTGAGTGTGCCTCTAGCCTGGGGGACAGAGTGAGACTTCAAATAAAGAATTTTTAAAAAGGATAAACCGAAATCTACAAAAAGAATACTGACTTAAAAAACCAGAATTAAATGATCAATGACACAATTACGTAAAACTTAAAACATATGCAAAATAATACTATATTCG